GCGCACATGACCAATGAGGGCACAAGATAAGTTTGTGCACAGATGGAAGGCTGACAGGCAGGTAGGCCATCCAGTTATTTTAGCCGGGCCGGCTCAGATGATTGGTCGTACTTTTTACAGTATTACGGCTTCCACAGATGACATTTTTTTATGGATTTTTTGTCAAAGCACTTAAGATATTCATTGCTATCGGGATGTTAAGAGCATTCCATGGAATATAACAAAAAGTGTATCTCGAGCCGGTTTCTCAAACTTACCTACCCTACCTTTAATGTTACAAAACAAAAATGACCATGTTCACGTCTTAAAGTCATCCTGAGGCCTTAGTTTTGGTTTAAAATTACACAACATCATGTATGTGTTGCTTCTTTTGGGCTTGTTTTTATAGACCTGGTTGCTTATTTCTCTCAAATCTGGCAACAGAGTGGGCAGGGCGCAGTGTCTAATAGTAGCAGTAAGCTAACGAGAGGCTACGTTCAGCTGGTGACTCGGGAGTCGGGACAGAGAAAATGTCAGGAGTTTGGAAGTATTATAAAATTGAAAGCGAAGGCAGTGTAACAGCCAGATGCAATGTTTGCAAGGCGGAGGTTCCGCGTGGTGGAAAGAACAGAACACGACCAATCTAATACAAACACCAACAACAACACGACGAGTACACAGCGGCCACTCAGGTAACGGCACTGAAACAACCGACACTTTCAGAGACTTTTAAAAGGAAAGAGAAACTGCCCCAGAACAGTGAAAAGGCCAACAAAATAACAGCCAAGATAGCTGAATCCATCGCGTTGGATGAACAGCCGTTATCTGTTACCTTTTTTTTCTCTTAATGCATTGCATAAAGATCGGATCGGGAAAAATCGGTATCGGCAGATTGTCAAAATCAAATGATCGGAATCTGATCGGGAGCAAAAAAAGGTGATCGGGACATCCCTAGTTTTCATGTCAGTTTATGTCTTTGGTAGTTAATTATCTAATTTAGCAGTGATGTAATGTTTTTATTTCTGTCAGTGGTTTTGGGTTGTTTCTTCTGTGTGTTGTCTTCACACTGTGCTAGTGAATGTGGGACACAAGATAAAGACAATTGGGGGGGATGTGTGTGTATTACCAAACATCAGACCGTATTTGGTATTGAAGCAGGTAATCAGAGCCCCAGGCGGCGCTGTGGGTCTGGAGACTGAAGGCTGAAACTGAAGTTCAGAACTACAGGGTTTTCTCACACTCACACCAACGTTTAAAGCCCTGATCATTTTAACCCAATGTTGCAAAGAAAGTCATCTGTTCTACCCTGCAGGGATTAACCCCCCAGGAAGTGCGCCTGACACTGAAGCAAATGTTTGTTGTGCCCAAACGGTGGTAATATAACTTTTGTGTCACTCTTACGGCCCCTACACACGGCGGCGTGCGTTGACGCTTGGCGGTGGGCGTGTCTTGAGCTTGGGGAATTTACGCGAGCAACGCGACCAACAACCAATCACATGAATCTCTCCTGTCAATTGCATAAAAGGTTTTACATGTCACACTTTATATGATGAACATTTATGACATTAATGTCTATGGTGCTATTTTACGCAACATTCCATGCTGGCTAAATACTGTCTATGCCTGCTAGCTGTCCATTCAAACGAAGTACACTGGATATAAACTCCCCAAACAGGCGAAAACCTACCAGTTTCACCCACTGTCTCTGCCACCTCCCTCCATGCCTGGCTCCTCCGGTTTGTATCCCGGCAGGTGAACAGGGACTGATCATAAAGCACCGAGTGATTCCCTACCGCTACGATTATTTTCTCCTCCATTTTTTGGCATATGAGGAAATGAACTGCGGTCTGGCTCTCCCAGCATACATGTGGTTTGATTGGCTAGCGCTTGTACTGGCAGATTTGCATAAGCGGGATTTGATTGGCCGACGCCTCCGTCGAAGCTTCAAAAGTAGAACATTGCTCTACTTTTGCAGCGAGCACCGCGAGAAAAGCTACGCTTTGCTCCCACAATGCAGTTCGGCGAAGCGTGACGTCACCCCATTCAAAGTGAATGGACAGAAGCGTTGAAGCGTCAACGCACGCCGCCGTGTTTAGGGGCCGTTAGGGGTGTAACGGTATACGTATTCGTACCGAAAATATTCTGTATGGGCCCTTCGGTTCGGTACACGTGTGTACCGAAGTGTACCGAACGAATATAACGTTAAACGTAAAAAATTGAGAACGTGAAGAACTTTTTGGAAGTAATCTCAGGTGCTGCGTCGCAGCATTCAGTGTAATTTGCTGACATTGGGTTCAAGTCATTTCATTGGACGAGAGGCATACTATGAGAGCTGGTCACAGGGATGCGTTCAAATTTAGTCAGTAATTTGAGGAACTGTCGAAATCGCGAACGCAGATAAAGTTGAGCTCGAAAATCCTCCAGCATCATTGCAGTCTCTGGTTTGGGAACATTTTGGTTATGCAGTTACGTACAAGGATGACGGACAAAGACAGGTGGACCGAACCAAAGCTGTTTGTCGGCATTGTTCAACTAAAATTGGTTACGCGGCTGGCAATACATTAAACTTGCACACTCATTTGAAAAGGCATCACCCGAACGTGAATATCACCGGTACCAAAAGAAAAATTACTGAAGTGCAAACCCAACTCCCACTAGCATTTAAGCCTCCAACACTCACAAAAAGTTCAGATTGAGCCAAAGCTATTACAAACGCCAAATATCCTTATGTTGCCATGTTAGCAAAGTGCTACCTGGCTATATCTGCTACCTCTGTCCCTAGCGAGAGGGTGTTCTCCACAGCAGGAGACATTGTTAGTGCCAGCAGATGTGCCCTTTCGGCAAGCAAAGTGGACAAGTTCATTTTTCTTAAAAAGAAACATGAAAATACAATGACAAGCAAGTCCTAATGTCAAGCTGGCTGCTTAGGTGTGTACTAGTACAGTACAGATTATTTCAGTTAATCGAAATGCTGCACCTTAATGTTTATTTTATTATATTTTGTATTTGAGTGAATACATTATTCACAGTTTAATAATAATTAAAAAACAACAACAAATATTTTATGTTTTGTGATCATTTTTTCTGCTGTACCGAAAGCGTACCGAACCGTGACCTAAAAACCGAGGTACGTACCGAACCGAAATGTTTGTGAACCGTTACACCCCTAGTCACTCTGCGACTTCATAAGGCCCAAAAATACTTTTCCCCATTGACTAACATGAGGAAAGAGACATCTGTAAATCAGATTTCTTTTTTGTTTAATCTACTACCCAGTCTAGATAGCCCTTATTTAAATCGTTAAGGCTTAACGGTTGTATAATGCGCTAAAAGCTGAATCCAGAGTTATTTTCCCCCATCACCAACGTTGTATCCAGTTCTTTTTATACATACACCAATTAACCAGACTGGTTGATAGACACACTAAATGTGTTATTCTTTAAGCATGTTTCAATCACAAAGAACCCCAAAATATGCAGGTTCTAGCATCACAGACTTATATTTCAACTTCTCTTAAATTATAGTAAGTTCAAAATCGGTGTGTTGTTGGAAGGTTGGAAAGGTATTGCAACCATGTGTATTATGTTCTGACCCTGTCTTGGAGTCATGATTTCTTGATTTACCAAATATTTCCGTTTCATTCTCTCTGGTGTCACCTATGGCGATAAACTGTGATGCAGTTAAGCTTTTTAATCTTTCTTTCCATAGATCCAGACATTTTGGAAATCAGTTCAAATCATTTAAAACAAATTATTTCTGTGGAACAATAATGTATTTTTCTTTTCAAGAACAAAAAGTGTGTATCATTGGGGCCTAAAAAAGGTGTTGCATTGTCTTGCTCATAAATCATTGGCAGAGTTGAATTATGAATATTCTGAAACATGCATTGTTTGTCAGCCTGCAGTCTAATTCATTTCCTTTGTTGTCACATTTCAAAACAATGTATGTCTGACATGCAGAAGATACAATTGAGTTACCACTAGGGATGTCCCGATCACCTTTTTTTGCTCCCGATCCGATTCCGATCATTTGATTTTGACAATCTGCCGATACCGATTTTTCCCGATCCGATCTTTATGCAATGCATTAAGAGGAAAAAAAAGGTAACAGATAACGGCTGGTCATCCAACGCGATGAATTCAGCTATCTTGGCTGTTATTTTTTTGGCCTTTTCACTGTTCTGGGGCAGTTTCTCTTTCCTTTTAAAAGTCTCTGAAAGTGTCGGTTGTTTCAGTGCCGTTACCTGAGTGGCCGCTGTGTACTCGTCGTGTTGTTGTTGGTGGTGTTTGTATTAGATTGGTCATGTTGAACGTAGCTCTGTTCTTTCCACCACGCGGAACCTCCGCCTTGCAAACATTGCATCTGGCTGTTACACTGCCTTCGCTTTCAATTTTATAGTACTTCCAAACTCCTGACATTTTCTCTGTCCCGACTCCCGAGTCACCAGCTGAACGTAGCCTCTTGTTAGCTTACTGCTACTATTAGACACTGCGCCCACTCTGTTGCCAGATTTGAGAGAAATAAGCAACCAGGTCTATGAAAACAAGCCCAAAAGAAGCAACACATACATGATGTTGTGTAATTTTAACCCAAAACTAAGGCCTCAGGATGACTTTAAGACGTGAACATGGTCATTTTTGTTTTGTAACATTAAATAAAATGTATAAAAATATTTTATAAAAAAAAAAAAAAAAAAATCCGATCCCCGATTTTTTTCTCCCGATCCCCGATCACGTGATCGGATCGGGACATCCCTAGTTACCAGATCATCTTGCTTTGGCCTTATGGCAAAACTCTGGTCAAAAACTCCACAAAAGAGTGGGGCCTTTCAAAATATATTTTTACATACATTATATATATTATTAAATACATCTATTTCTATATTTTTAAGATGAATCACTCTTCAAAACATGTCAGATACTAGAGAAAATGTTTTTAAAAGTATTGAAGAAATAGGAAACGATGTTGGATTGTGGTCCAGTGTGACAGACTGGTGCTGACTCTGCTCTTGTGTCCTCCAGAGATGGGCAGTGAGTTGCCGGGGACCGTCGCCATGCCGGGGGCCGTTGGAGCCGGTCAGGTGAGGATGGGAGGAGCTGTGCCAGGCCGCGGGGGGAAGAGGAGGTCAGGAGGGTGAGTACCTGCTCCAGAGATTAACCACTACATATACTGTACATCGTTACAGCAAGAGGTTTAAATATTTTTAAAGCAGAGTCTCAAAAATAACAGCTGACAGTTCCCAGGAGACAACAGATGTTTGTGGGTCCCCTTTCACACTGGCTAGTAACATCTGCCTCAAAGAGTGTCTACACAGTGTGCATGGCATCTTATGGAACCATGTGGAGAAAAAGCACAGCAGCGTCTTTTCCGAGCGCTCTGCAGCAGTTATGACTGGTTTGATTTGAAAACATTGCACATTTTCAGAAAAGCGTCTTTCACCGTCTCTCTGAGATGGAAACTATAATAACAAAGACAAAGAGCCACATCTTCTGTTTGGTTGTATTAGTGAAAAAACAAAGTCAAACATATATATTAGCACAAACAGATAATAAAATCCAAGAGGACGATGCTAGTCTGTTTGCAGGGTTCCCGATAATCTGAATTTAAGGCCTTAAAAAAGTCTTAAATATGACCAAAAAAATAAGAAAGGTCTTAAATATGATTTAGAAGGTCTTAAAAATTATGGGATTTGAAAGGTACTTCTGTGTTGCGATCGCGTCTAAATGTGTTTTGGGGGAAATGTCCGGGCTGCAAAGTAACCAGTACGGCAAGAGCCTTTCAGTTCCCCCCAACCATTTGTATTGAAATAAATCAACATGGAACCAGTAATCACTAACTTTGTTTCCCCCGGCCCCTTATCGGAGAACACCCAGCTAGTAACCTAGCAACCAAGCTTCAGCTAGCGGCAGTCAGAAACTCATGTCTCTTCGAATCTACTTACAAATAAATATGGGGAAGTGTAAGTTCAACCGTATTTGGTTGGAAAACATCGAATTTAGTGCTTGGTTGAAACCAGTGGAGGGGAACGTGTTTGAAGCCCGCTGCACCTTTTGCAAAAAAAATTAGCGTTTGTTTTGCCAATGTAGCGTTAGCTAGTGCAGCGCTAGCTCGTGCAGCGTTAGCTAGTGCAGCAGCTCCCGCAACACCACCGGGCGACGTTTGGGTCTACGTCAACCCTAAAAGCGGAGGTGCTGTAGACGCTAAATACCGTAGTTAAACACCAATCATACAACAGCAACGATGAAAGATTGTAGCCACACACACACACACCACACACACACACACACACACACACACACACACACACACACACACACACACACACACACACACACTAGGGCTGCTCGATTATGGCAAAAATCATAATCACGATTATGTTGGTCAATAATTGATATCACGATTATTCATTGACTTTGAAAACATCCATTTATTGAACTTTAAAATAAATAATAATTTGAACAGTATCTTTTTAACTGTTGATTCCCTGAACGTATAATTCAACTGAAAAACCAATACAAAAATTAATTAAATAAATGAAATATTTAAATAATAAATATCAATAAACAAGATCAACAAATATTTTGGAGCGCACTTCCACAAGCTACTAAACATATAAAAATAAATTAGACTAAAATTAATTAGATCAAATATGTTGTAGTGCATTGTTACAACCTAGCAAAGCTAAATAATCGTTTTTTTCGATTATGTTGTTTTTGTAATTGTGGCTGGCCAAAATCGTAATTGCGATTTAAAATACGATTAATTGCACAGCCCTAACACACACACAAGCACACACACATACACACTTTTGTCTAACACGCTAACACAGTTGTGTACTGTTATGCTGTTATGTTCAGTCATTGTTCTTATGTTGAACATGAATACATTTACTTTGAAAGTAATTATGGGACATATTTCTTCTTTCATAGCAATTTTCCTTCATACTTTCTTGCCGTGAAATAGGTCTTAAATTATATTCAAAGTGGTCTTAATAAGGTCTTAAAAAGTCTTAAATTTGAGTTGGCGAAACCTGCAGGAACCCTGTGTTTGACAACAGCGCTGATGCGTTGTCGAGATCTCCTTTAGAACACAGAACAATAAGTCAATCAAAAGGGGTGTGAAGCACCCAGCTTCATACTTCCTTTTGGACTTTTTTCCATGTAATTACAAACAAATATTCCAATGGAAAGCGTACTGTGTTCAGATTGGTTGATGTGATTGTCATAGATTGTCCCATCAGGAGCAGTGTGATCTCAGTATTTAAGGTCTGGCTGCTGACCCAGTAGTTTGTTCATATTCTGATCAGGCAATTATTGGGTTTTAAACAGTGTGTATTCTTGAAAGGCACAAAATCTACCTTTGCTATGCAGCCGCCCTGCCTTTCATCCATTTACAAATCATAGCTCTTTTAATAAGCTTAGTGGCTTTGTAGACTCTATTGTTCAAAGCATCTGGGAGCATACCGGTTATTTATTAACCATAGCGTTCTTTTATTCAGTAACCACTCACTGTTTATTGGGGGAACAGAGTTTTCAGTTTTTTTATATTTTCAGGCTTGGTGCCACAGAAATAGCACTTGGGTTACAAAAAAGCAAGAAGTTCTATAAGGGAAATAGTGAGTTTAATTCTATAACAGATTGTGTAACCATAGTGTTTCAGGTTTAAGTGTAGGTGGAGACGTTTTTATGTTTTGCTTTTCTTTCCCTCCTCCTCGGTCATTTGCTGTCTTGCATCGACTATTCAGCACAGGGGAAATTCTGCACAATGTATAAAAACAAAACATGTTGCAGGGTAATGCATATTAATGCATATGATAGAACAACTAGAACATTTCAGAAAATGAAAGCGATATATATACCAACATCTAAGATGGTATATAGTGTCATATCACGGTATTAGTATAATATCCATATTATATCCTAACAAGTAGGTGCTGTCTCACTATTTCTCTGCCTCTCTCACTAGCACACCGGGGAAATGTTGGCACTGCTGTTTTATTGATTTACTGAAAGATGGTGGTGCCATAAGTGTTGTTGATTTGCGACCATTAATAAAAAGAATATATGTTTAGCAGAATAGGCTGAAAGAGTCATTTAGTATTGTGACATCAAATATATGTTCAGCAGCGGTTTACATTACTGCTGCTGTCTGAAACGCCCCATCATTAAACATAGGGACATAGGCACCGTGCATCACACACAGCTAAAGTACAACACACTAATCTTATTTTCATGATATCACTGCACTTGATATATGTTCTGGTGAACTTCTTATCTTCACTGCCTCCATGATAGCTAACCTGAGCTGACGATACTTAACCTGTAAAGCATCTTCTGTTGTGACTTATGGAGAGATGTCTTTGTGGGTACTGGTCACACATAAATTATTGTTTTAATGATCACCATCTTCTCCTAATTTATCCTAGTAACTGGGTTCTTCGTGAAGGGGCCATAAAGTGCAGACACAGGGCCGGGCCCCATCGCTTCAATATGATATGTATATAGGAATTATTTAGACAAACACATTAATAAAACATCTTTTAAAGAACAATTACATTATTAATTAAAAAAATATTTTGATTCATGTTTTGGTCCTTTAAACTCCATTTTGTTCTCTTGTAGATGACGGGGAATACCATCAAATACTTAGTATTTGAGATAAGATAAGATGTACTTTACTGATCCTAAATTAGGAAAAATGATTTGTCATGACAAGGCATTGCAAATAATTTGAAAAAATAAAAAGGGTAGAAAATAAACAAACATAAAATATAAACATTTTAAAATAGAAAATTAACACGGAACTAAAAAGAAAATATAGTTGACCATGGAAACCTGCATAATGATAGACTTAAATAATGAATCACTTTTTAGTTGCTTTAGTTAATTTTTTGACTATTCAATGACTTGACCATTTTAGTTTTAGCTCTAATTTAAGAGGATTTTTTTCTGCCCCCTAGCAACAATGATGTGTCCTTTCTGAATGTTGGGTAAACATTAGCTCTTCATCCTCTCCTTATTAAATAATAATGCTTTTTCTGTCATTTTAAAAATGAAAGGAAAATGAGCAATGTGACTACAGTGCCGTACCTTGTACATCTAATCTCCAGGGGCCAGCTCGATGCATTTAACCTGTACACAGCATTAGGCCTGCATACACATGAATTAATAATACAGGTTTTTGGCAATACGCCAAATAAACTTGGCTCAGCGAGGCTACAGAAACTTATTGTCTGTCAATTATGCTTTATTTATTAAGGTGTGTGTGTGTGTGTGTGTGTAGTAGAGGCAGGTTGTAGTTCAGTAAGAGGATCCAAAGTCAACAACAGACACATTGATCCTCTCCTCAGCCCCTGATGCTGCCACGATGCATGAAGCCCCCAGCTTGATGGAGCATACCAAACAGCATACTGTGTGTGTACACGCAAATATCCAGAGGGAAGTGCTTAGAAGAAAGATCTGTGCGATAGCGAGGTATGCTGGGTTAGTTTTGAATATTAAAAAAGGTAGCTTTTAAACTGGTAAGATCGCCATAGTTACCCAGGCAAAACGCCTAACATGGCCAAGAACAAGTTATCTTTAGAGTTTTGGTTCGTAATTGGCTATAAAAAGCTTATTTGAACAATCAACTGCTTTGGAAAAAGCCATTGACTGTAACCGTATTTCCCCTTATGCTTCACCTGCTCCAGGGAGCTCACATTATTATGTGTTGGTACCTTTATATATACAGTCTATGGTTGGTACTCCCGGAAAGAAAGTTGTTTCCATTACTTTGCATAGCGTCCCCATCTTTATCAACCTTTACTGCTTTTAAGCTTTTGAATGAATTGTTGTTAAGTAATAACCCCTTTTAAGGCGAGAAACTAACAATTTAGAATACCAATATGTGATTAGTTTATCCCATTTTTGTGAATTTACAGGGATGTTTGAAGCTGCTGGCTGTATGAGAGCAGCTCATCAGCTTATCAATAGCACATATCAACAATGTTTTTGTAATTACCCTGACTGGCTGAACGGTAGACACGAGTCTGCACTTCATGTGTAGACAGATCCGTTGGCTTTTTCTGACCATATTCTCTATGATCAATATGGATGAGGGATAGTGGTGGTCTAATGCAGGGGTTCCCAACCTTTATTGTGCCAAGGGTGTGTGTGTGTGTGTGTGTGTGTGTGTGTGTGTGTGTGTGTGTGTGTGTGTGTGTGTGTGTGTGTGTGTGTGTGTGTGTGTGGTGTGTGTGTGTGTGTGTGTGTGTGTGTGTGTGTGTGTGTGTGTGTGTGTGTGTGTGTGTGTGTGTGTGTGTGTGTGTGTGTGTGTGTGTGTGTGTGTGTGTGTGTGTGTGTGTGTGTGTGTGTGGTGTGTGTGTGTGTAGTGTGTGTGTGTGTGTGTGTGTGTGTGTGTGTGTGTGTGTGTGTGTGTGTGTGTGTGTGTGTGTGTGTGTGTTGTGTGTGTGTGTGTGTGTGTGTGTGTGTGTGTGTGTGTGTGTTGTGTGTGTGTGTGTGTGTGTGTGTGTGTGTGTGTGATTTGTTTTCAGAAGATATTATGATAGTGTCGTTCGTTCCGGTGCACTCCGACAGCATTTAGCACTACATCGAGATTAAGATTAAACTAATTTATTTTGGGAACAGCTGCATATATGGAGTTAGCCATATGTGTGTAAATTACTGTTCATAAACATTTGAAAACAAATGCCGGTGTCGGACAGACACAAACACACCGAACACACAGAGCTGAGCTGAGCTGAGCAGAGCACACACACACATCATGCGCCTTGGTGACTGACTGGACATCTCCTTCATAAAACTAATAAAAGGGGGAGTAATCGGGCAGTTCGATGTGTGTAGAGATGTGTGTAGAGGTGTGTGTAGAGGTGTGTGTGTGTGTGTAGAGGTGTGTGTGTGTGTGTGTAGAGGTGTGTGTGGTTAACACGTAGCAGCCTGCAATCACTCTTAAGCTGTTCTGATGAAGTTAAACACAGCGAAGGCGGTGCGTAAAAAGGCACAGCTCTTTACCCGCTGGTGCTGCACTTCTCAGAGGCGGAGTATACGTCCCGCTGCCTCCTGATGCTGCAGCCATTTCATGAAGTGAAGGAGGTTTTCCTTCTATAAAACAGCTGTGGGCAGCAGATACCGTAATTCATAGATCAAGGCAGACTGGTTTACTCTCCTGTTTTGCCGATCCGGTGCTTAAACAAATAGCTCTACACCCCTGGCCGAAGGGGTCGGAAGGTTATGAGTTCAACTCTTGCCAGGAACACCACCACTAGTGTGCCCTTGAGTCCTTAGTTACTCCAGGGAGAATGTCCCTGTAATTGGTAATTGTAAGTCGCTTTGGATAAAAGCGCCAGCTAAATGAAATGTAATGGATGATCAGCTCAGGAAATACCTAATATATGCAAACCTGTTTTGTTAAACCGTCAAATCAATAATGACACTGAATAAAACCTTGCAATTACAACAAGTGCGCAATAATCATCACTTGTTGCCCATTTATTTAATCTCTTTCTTTTTCTTTGATCAGTGGAGCTGAGATATGCAATTTAAAGCAGAGGTGTAGAAACAGGATGTGATGCGCAGCACTCTGACACTCTACTCTGCCTTCCCTTTATATCACCTTTAATCTTTCCCTCAGGCTTTCTGATAAGTCATAGGAGACTATGTGTGTACATATTAGTAATTATACTGCAATGCCAATAGTACATTGTCTACATATGTTTGTCATGTTCTTTTATGCAAAGATGGATAATTTAAAAATATTCCAAAACCAAATAATGTCGAATGTTGTTGTTGGCTTTTTGAGCTAGCATCACAGCTAACTCCTGTCGTAGGTGTATGTTTTGAAACTGTAAACTGTGAGATGAGCATTTTGAGATGAAAACATCCACTCTTTTAAACTGATTTCTACTGCCTGGAAAGTGATTAGACATATTAGAAATCACCATCAGTTTGACCATGAGAGGGCGCTGTGCGTCTATCAGAAGTAGTGATTGTGTTTCCTGTGATTGTTTCCCAGAATGGACTTTGACGATGAAGACGGAGAGGGACCGAGCAAATTCTCAAGGTAAGAACAGTGAGAGCAGGCATTTCCTGTGAGAAATGTTCTAGAACTACTTCACAAAAATAATGAAAATCTGATAAATTAGAGTTGTTTAAATGAGCAAATTTAAGTTGTTTGATCTCATTTTTACTGCACTGAAATTCAAAGGAAGTGTGTACTAAAGTATACATGCACTTTAGTTTGTAACATTGTCTGTTGCATGGACACCTCATGGCTTACTTTTTGTTTAGTCTTTTTTTGATTCAAGTCTCTATCTGCCAATGCATATCAACCTTCCACTCACTTATCATTTATTTCCTTTTCTTCTTTCTCATAGTGTAGTGTGTATGTCTGTAGGATGTGCAGTAAGTAAAGACCTTTGTTCTGCTAAGTTGAGCGTTGCCAGTGCAGAAATACTACAATACTGCTTCCCTTAACCAACAGCTCTAGTTCACTGTGATGGAAAATACTCAGATCCTTTACTGAAGTAAAAGTACAAATACTGTGGTCTTAAAATACGTTCTGAGTTTAAATGTGACTTAAGTAAAAGTACACAAGTTTTCTGAGCAAAATGTACTCAAGTATCAAAAGTAAAAGTGCTCTGTATTCAAATGGCTCTTTTTTAAAAGTTTTATATTATTATAGAATATAATATAATCCTGTTTGTATCACTAATAATCACTGTGGAATGAATTTTGGATGCTTTGTGTTCTACAAAGTAAATGTATGCATTAACATGATGAATTTATACTCATTTATATATATATATATATAGTATAAATTCATCATGTTAATGCATACATATATATATATTTATAGTAGTATAAATTCATCATGTTATTAATGCAAATAGCATGTTGTAAAAAGTAGCTAATAAATAAATACACAATTGCATTATCATTGCACCTGTTACACCGGCCATGTTTTTACCATCAAGCATTAAACCATCGAGTCTGACATTATGTTGTGACCATCAGTGCACTTCAGGAGTACTGATAGTAAAGCTGCTTCATGATGTCTTTACACTGTGTGTACGATGAGTTACATGTGCGGTCCTCTCTTCTCTGCAGGTATGATGATGATGATCAGATTCCTGGTGTGGAGAAGGAAATATATGCCAGGTAGGCCTAGCCAGCTGGGGGCCACAGAGGATGTCCCCTGAGTCAGGGCCCCACAGACTGCCAGCCTGAACACTATAACCCCCTCTGATCCAAAGAACGTGACCTACTAATCAGTTATCCTCCATTTAAAAGTCCTTATTAGACCACACTTGAGTAGTTTATTCAGCAGGTGTGCAGATGTCAGTGAGACTGGACAACAGAAACACTGATAACTGACTTCTAACAACAAATCACATCACACTAAAGTCTTTCTAACCAATCATATGGCAGCCCACTCTCCAGAGTAGGCGTTCTGTGTCGCCACAGAAAATGACAGACCCAACCCCAAGTCCTCAACAGCTTCAATAATAAGAGCTCTGTCAGATAAACATGGAAACAAAGATGTCTGCTGTGTTGATAGCTCAATCCCTAAAGCCCCCCTAGACACAAAGTGGATGACTTCACATTAGACATAGGCCATTTCTCCATGTAAAGGTTTGGCTGAAAAGTTCTATCAGAAATAAGGTATTTCAACTTTTGACCCATACTTGATCTTCCCATGTTGCAGACATTTCACAGGTTTTCTTTAAAAATTTATATAATCATTTTATGTTTGCATCTAATTTAGTTATTTACTTTGATATACTACTAGATAATTACAACGGTAATATTGTCTTGGTATAATATTTGTATATACTGTATATTTGCTCACATAACAAATATGTATTGTGCTGTCATTATTTTTACCTCAGATATATGAGCCAGGCTTTGTAAACTGCATCCTGTCTGATGGAGCTGCTTACACAACTCATTTTATTTATTATTTATTGGCATGAATATTTGCCAACATTTTTGAGAAAAAGAGTATTGTGAAAAGTGTACATTTTACAGTTTAGGGTGATTAAAAAAACAATAACATATAAAATATGTTGCTGGCTCACCCTGTGTTGTTATGAGTCCTCAATCGTTTTCAAAGAGGAAACTCAAACCAGACATCTGAAAATAAAATAATGAGTATCTGGCATGCAGTGGTGACAGATTCCAGGCAATGTGCCTTCGTGTGTAAAGTGAGATGTAATGGTTTAATACCATTTAATTAAGATGAAATCAGATTATAGCTTGCTGTTGATGGACCCTTCAGTCATTCGGAAGAGAATGGTGATGAGTTTAGTCTCTCGTCTATCCTCTAAGTGTCTAACTGCTCTTCTCTGTTCAGAGAGAACCACAGTGAGATTGAACGACGCAGGCGTAACAAAATGACGCAGTACATCACGGAGCTGTCAGACATGGTCCCCACCTGTAGCGCGCTGGCCAGGAAACCTGACAAACTGACCATCCTGCGCATGGCTGTGTCCCATATGAAGTCCATGAGGGGCACTGGCAACACGTCCACTGACGGGGCCTACAAGCCCTCCTTCCTCACCGAACAGGTACTGGGTTACACAACATCCTTTAATATCATTCATTTCTACAAAGTCATTTTGGTAAAGACAATTGAGTTTTGGAGGGCTATCTGGAAGGCAGGATGCTCTTCCTTCAAATTAAAAGAAAGAATTTGATGGAGAAAATAAATTGCACTCCTTAGATTAATGTGGGGAAATTGTCTAGCGTTTTGATACCAAGATATTCTGTTTAGATGTCCAACTAATACTCTTCAATTCCCTGATCAGTACATGTGGAGTTATTCTGTGCATCAGATTAAGGGCTCACCTTAACAACATTTGCTCGTATTAAAACCCCGTTTGAAACTACTGGATTAATTCATCATGTGCTTCTGTACATCTGTTCCATTCTCACCACGCCTGCAGGGAACTTCTTCAGATAAGACACTCCCACTAACATGCACGCTTAACATAAAACTCATGGACACACAAACGACACCCTCACTATTTGTACTCTACACATAGACAGGCACCTTAAAACACACTCTCACACACATTAAAATATTAACTTTCTGGTCAATTCACTGTTTATTACTGGAAATGTTCCAAACTACTTGAAAGATTTTGATATTAGGGAATCCTGGGAATTGACTCTAGGCAGATCACAGGCTGAGGATTGATTTGAGACCCTGACAGTGGAAGGGGAGCCAGAGCGTGACAGTCAAATGTTTCCCAGCATGTTCTGTTCATTACCAAGCTCAGTGTCTGCCTCTTTTCCCATTGAGTCCCAAATAATGAAGGTATTGTGCAGGCCTCTTACCCATTTGTAATCATGGAAAATTATTACATTTACTTAACAGCTCATTATAAATTAGCTACCCACTTCAATTCAACACTGTCTCTACATTACATTACATTACATGTCATTTGTTAGACGCTTTTATCCAAAGCGACAATCCCCACAGGAGCAATTTGGGGTGAAGTGTCTTGCCCAGGGACACAATGACATGCTGACTGCAGTGGGACTCAAACTTGCTATCCCTGATTCGAAGTCCATCATACAATCCACTGAGCCACAGCCTATTAAGAGAGAGGCAAAGGGAGTGCTCTGATGTTAGATGTTAGATGTCAGGTACTGTGATCAATGCAAATGCTGTTTCCACTGTTATGATAAATATAAAAAGTAAAGAAAATTACACATTTTCTGCATATAGTGGTGTATTTTTTTTTTATACCATCACAGTTTTTCTTAACATTCATTTTGTACATAAATATTGCCTTGTAATAACAACAAATTGAATAGTATGATGGTATGTGTTTTGTCATCAGATTCTTTCGAATGCACAGCCCTACTTTTTCTGTGTTAATGTGTGTGTGCACGTGTTATTCTCTGCTCCCTGTAGGAACTGAAGCATCTCATCCTGGAGGCGGCGGACGGCTTCCTCTTTGTTGTTGCCGCGGAGACGGGCCGGGTGATCTACGTGTCGGACTCGGTGGCGCCGGTGCTGAACCACCCCCAGGCGGAGTGGTTCGGCAGCACTCTGTACGAGCAGGTCCACCCCGACGACGTGGACAAGCTGAGGGAGCAGCTCAGCACCTCGGAGAACTCCATGACAGGTACAGAAAGTGACCTCACAACGTCCTGTTGTTGTCCACGCAATTTGTAATTACTAGTTGGCAACATTTCTCTTGTTAATATAAGATAAGATATAGATTAGGTAAACCTTTATTTATCCCCTAAGGCAGGGGTTTTCAAAGTGTGGGAAGGTGAGCCTCCCCTCAGAGAACATAAGAACAGCCGTGCCCCCCCCTCCCAATTATTATTGCTATTATTATTTGTATTGTTGTTGTTGCTATAATGCAGGGGTATTCAATTGCATTTCAAAGAGGTCCAGTAAGAGAAAATGAAGACTGTTTCTCTCCTCTTGTCTTGTCTCTGTGTGTGTGTTTGAATCTATCGTGCTGACTCACTGACTGCACCGATTTGATTGGCTGAGTAGTGTCACCTCCTTAAAACATTAAACAATAACTTTTTTAAACCTTTTTATCTTTATGTTTTAAACATATTGTATAAAACTCCCCCACTACTTGGACTATTCCTTGCACCCCTCTAGAATAAGCCCGAATGGTCTCAACCATATTGAATCAGTAACGTGCACTTGTTGTTATAACAAGATCGCAAGGACACTGGTAGCGATCGGACAATTTAGTGTTGTTCAGTTTGTGTGTTGTGGAACATGCGTGTGCGTGCATGAAAATATACCACACACCCAATTACAATAGCATGTTCAATTCACTACCCTGGAAGTTAATAAAGTTGTTAAAGTTGGAACAGCCTGTGGACAGCCGTTCTTCCTTGCACGTCAGTCGCCGACACCTTCTTACAGAGGACAGGTAAATCTAGCTGCAGCACGACCCGTATATTTTCGCACGCCGTGTTCTCAACACATATTTTTCTAACATTTTCAATATCATGGATACATCCTTATATGCTCCCGGCAACACACTGAACGTCAACTTTGCCTCCTTTTTACACTCACCCCTACTTTAGTGGGAACAATGAGTCTGCGTCCTTGACCGGCACTTGCTTTTGATCAAAGTCAATGCGGAAAACCTGCACTCACGCAGGTAGGTGGAGGTGAAGGGAATGAGCACTCACACAGGTAGGTGGAGGTGAAGGGAATGAGCACTCACACAGGTAGGTGGAGGTGAAGGGAATGAGCACTCACACAGGTAGGTGGAGGTGAAGGGAATGAGCACTCACACAGGTAGGTGGAGGTGAAGGGAATGAGCACTTTTACAGCCTTTTTGGCGAGGTGGGGGAACTCGGTCTCCACCCACAGACAGTTAAGTGTCACTTAACTCATCTTTTTCTCGTTATTTTTTGTCTCACGCGCGCCTCCCCTGAAGCTCTCTGGCGCCCCCCAGGGGAGGCGCGCCTCACAGTTTGAAAACCGCTGCCCTAAGGGAAATTCAGGTTTATTACAGCATCAGAATAAGAGTGATGAGCTCCTCATCTTCACTAGCTCTGCATGGAGGGATAGGAGGGGTTCTCTAGGATACTGTCCAGCTTCTTCCCCCCCCCCCACCTCCTCCAGATTGTCCAGTTGAAATCCAACTACAGAGCGAGCCTTCCTTGCTAACTGTTTTAGCCTGCAACAGAAAAAGAAGAGACCCAGGGAAGCTGCTAAAACAGGCTGCCACTCATAACTGCTCAGACTTGCAGCTACACACAGTTTCACAGAGTGCTAATTACTGTGAAGACACTGCTCTAGCAGAGCATACAATCAAACACAAACATTGTTGTGATGACACCATGACTTAGCTATGCATGACTGTTTCTAAAATATACTTTTTCCGGCTACGTACATGCCAAAACCGATATGTCTGAAGGTGAATATTTACCATTAACTTGGTAAGGCTCTAGCAGAGAGTACAACCAAACTCAAACATATTCATGTTATGTAAGATATAAAAAACTGTACTGCTGTAAACTGAAAGTATGCTTTATGTATCAGAAGGGAAATATATTCCTGCCTACACATTTGTTACAATATTGGTCAGGAAGTGTGTGTGTGTGTGTGTGTGTGTGTGTGTGTGTGTGTGTGTGTGTGTGTGTGTGTGTGTGTGTGTGTGTGTGTGTGTGTGTGTGTGTGTGTGTGTGTGTGTGTGTGTGTGTGTGTGTGTGTGTGTGTGTGTGTGTGTGTGTGTGTGTGTGTGTGTGTGTGTGTGTGTGTGTGTGTGTGTGTGTGTGTGTGTGTGTGTGTGTGTGTGTGTGTGTGTGTGTGTGTGTGTGTGTGTGTGTGTGTGTGTGTGTGTGTGTGTGTGTGTGTGTGTGTGTGTGTGTGTGTGTGTGTGTGTGTGTGTGTGAAAAAAAAAAGAGGTGTGAATTCTGAAAAAGTCAGTTATTTATTGGACTTCATCTGTGCCACACTGACTGATTTTTTAAATGTAAAAATGTGTGACATCAGAGTGCCCACTAGAGGGCAGCCTTGCATTGTTGAAGCTCTTCTTCTGCTGTGAGTCTCCTCTGTGTGTCTGTCAGTCCATCTGACCCCAGAGGCCCTCTGAACAACAATGAACCCAGCAGAGCATTGTAATCCACACAACACAATAATCTGCATGTAGAGCTGTGGCAGGGGAAACACACACACACACACACATACACACACAGCCTTTGAAGTGTCAGCGCTTCTCACAGTCCTGTTTCCTTCAGTGGAACTAAAGCAGTTTGTTTTGGAGGCTCACTCCTTGGGCTGTTGAACTGTGTTGTGCGTGTTGCAGAACTGCATGCTGGTCCAGCTCACTGATGGAGGACTGAACAACAGTACCAGGCCAGAACACCAGCTGTTGTTTTCTGGAGTTCTTTGTGGGAATAACGAATAAAGAGATAATTTAGGGGAAGTGGATACAACTTGTTATTCAGTCAACTGAGGGCTGTTGGCAGGTTCTTTGTGGAGGAGTGGAGGGGGGGTCACAGTGCTGTCACCAAGTTTATTGTTACAGTTTGTTTATAGGTAGCCAAAAGCTGGCATAGCATAATCCGCTAACTTGCTTAGTCTACTAGTTAAGTTAGCCCAACTCTGAACCTCCAAATATTTACTCGTGCACTGGTGGGTCTGCTCTGCTTACATACGCAAATCACCACGGAAAGCTGGGTGAATAAACAAACTAAACCAGCGTACATAAATGTCATATGTTTGCCCGGTGTCTAAAGTCAGAGACAAACCAGCCCTCTGTGTTCAGGCCTCCTCAAGAGCTGCTGGAAGAGTTGTCCAGAAGCTATGGATTGAAGTATCTCAATTTTCAATAAGCAGCACCAGTATCGGGACCGATACAATTCTAACAATACCCATCCCTAAGTATAAGTATTTTTATTTTCTTTGATTTTTGGAAAGAACAATTGCAACAGTGCTGTAGTGCATATTTCACTGTAGTTCTTGTAGACTTTAATTGAATCTCTCTCTGCAGAATTATTTACATAAAGAACCAAGCCCATTTGAAGACAACAGTGCTTTTGATTGAGCACAACAGTGTGTAGTTGGTCTCACACAAATCTGGTCATGAATAAAGCAAGTGTTTATGTATGTTTAATTTTGCAGGACATATGAGGTGTTTTGCCCTTTGGGTGTGTGGTTTTGGGAATTGTGTTAAGTGTTGTGAGAAAAGGAGCTTGTTTTCAGAAATGTGTGCGATTGATAACAACTGTAATAAAATGGAAACAAAGACAACTTTTAGAAGTTCTGTCAGAAGGGACCGGTTTACTTTAGATGCTATTAGTGTTGGTCATCTGACCAATATGATTTTAATATCAAATAGCAATAGATCTGTCCTTCACTCGTGTAATGAATGTATGTAATCTGTTGCTGTGTTTTCATTATGTTATGTCTTTAAAACTCCAGAGACTGTGTCTTATGTCAGCTTCTCAAGCATACACGTTCTGTTTCAGGAGATTTTCAAACAGAAAGATGGTGATGTGACTGCTGGGAGACAGGAGGATGAGTAGATGTGATATTCTGGCTCTTGTTAGCCTGTAGTTCTGTCTGTTACAGCAGAAAATGTATTTTCAGATCTTTCTGAAATCCCAAAAGCAGCAACTACTCCTGTCATGTTGTATTTCAGGCACATCGGCTTTCTCTGGTAAAAACATTATGACTGCAGCAAAACATGTCACTGTAGATGACAGGATGTTCTCCTCCGTACGAAGGCGTGTTCGCTTGTATAATAAAAACATTGCTGTTTATAATTACTTCATTTTATAGCAAAAGTTTCCCCCGAAGAAGAATAACCAAGAAGAAACATGACTCATCATCATTATGATGACAAAGACTTGTTGAGTGATCTTAGTCATCAGCACACGTGCAGCTGTTGTTAGCTATACGTCGTTTTTTCTTCAAATGATCATCAGCAACAACAGCAAGCTTTCATATGTAGAGATAATGTGAATATGCGTTTACTTGTCATATATTATGTAGATCACCATGAAAGACTTGAGGTTGGTTTATAGAACATAATAAGAACTGAGGTACAGATTCACAATAATGCTCAGAATATGTCCTATTAGAAATGTCTTCCTCAAATTGCTCATCCTTACCCAGAAGATATTATTAAACTGATTTCGTACGCTGAGTTGATCTAACCATGACTGGTAAACAAATGCTGAGTTTATCTTTAAAGAAGTGTCCTGATAATGTGTACAGTGTTCACCACCAGCTTTCATCACATAGGTGGGAAAAAGCTTAAGAGAGTTGGTGTTTTTAAAGATTGTGTAAGGATGAATGAATGTACTGCAAACAGCAGCAACAAAAGCAGAAGGGAATTTCTGTGCAGAAAATATGGCTGGCTTATTTAATCACAATCTTGATTTGGTCTTATATTATATGAGTAATTTCTCTCTTCCTTTTTGGTCGGAGTCTGTCACCAAGATGTTTGAAGTGTGGCTATATTTGAACCAAAATTACACTTTCTATATCTGATCCTCAAAGATGATTATCACAGATTTTAAATATGTTCATAAAGATGCTGCTCTGACACAACACACAGTTGATCTGAGCTGTGATCACAAACTGAATTGGTGTTTCTGCAGGTTTCTTTCTTCACAGTTTGAAGAGTAATGTGTAAATGCTTCTTTCCCTGTCTACATGGTAATGTTTCTGTGCCCTGTTGTGATGTGTTCTGTTGTAATGTGTTCTGCTGTCTGTGTTCACAGGACGGATTTTGGACCTGAAGACAGGGACAGTGAAGAAGGAGGGGCAGCAGTCCTCCATGAGGATGTGCATGGGCTCCCGACGCTCCTTCATCTGCCGCATGAGGTGTGTGTGACCGTGTGTGTGTTTCTGACTCTATGAATGTGCTTTTTTTTAAACGGATTCAGTGAGCATTCAGAATTACACTCATGAACTTGTGTTACATTATCTTGGGTTTTCAAACTCAAACCCCTACATTTCCAAATCTTCAAAATGTTGCAGTATTTAAATAATTCCACCTTTTTCAAATGTTCTTTATCACAAACAGCCTGACATATTTAGCTTAAGAATAGGCCCGGTCATATGTTTAAATAATGGAGCACTAATTTTGATTTTAAGAAAAGTTAATTTTGTTAAATCGTTTTTATTGCCACCTATGTCCTCTTGGTAACATGAGTTACACATGAAACCATCAGGATACTGTAGAGAAATGCTTCTCAAGTGTTTTTATGTCAAGGAAACTTGACACTCAAGGGCCCCACTTAATATTTAGCTTCAGGGACCTTCATCTGAAATATTTGGGGTGATGAATGAAAAATGGCGGCAGGTCGGTCAGGTGCGGTAGTTGTCCTGCTATTGTACACGCTAATTTTGACAATTGTACAACCGGTAAACATCAATGCAATTCAGCAATCTCTCAACAACAAATATACGAATATAACTGTCAACTATGATGATCCGATCACTCATGGGACTCATCAGTACAAACAAGATCCACCATGTGTCCTGGCTGCTACTCTTCGATTTCCACAGTGGTACAACACAAGGAGGAAAACGGCAAAAACATCAAGCAGGCGACAAAGCAACGAGGCTCTGATAATAGCCATCTGTCTGCTTCTGTCTGGGGATATTCATCAATGTCCTGGCCCGACATCAAACGAAGCAAGCTTCGCTGACAGTGTCACCTGTAACTCTAATTCCCCTCAGGTAAATATATCTAGAGGCCACTTGTGCTCCACTAACTCAGCAAACTCACCTAGTTCAACCTGCACCCTCCCTGAGCACCACGGAGGATCCAGCAGTCCTCCAGCTGCAATATCCAGACACCGGCCTGGGGTGGCCCAACAAGGGCGATCCAGCAGGGCGCCCACTCCCCCCGAGCAACACGGACGAGCCAGGGGTTATCCAGCGGCGTCTCTTCGCCAAGCAGCGGCGTCTCTTCACCATCCAGTGGCAGCAGTCCAAGGAGGTCGACAGATATCCAGAATCGAACATACCTTGGCAAAAAGGAGAGCAGTCCTCGCTACTAGTGGAATCCTTGCCCGCGGCTACACGCGAACTGTCACCGGTGAATTCACCGCCAGCAGAGACTTCTTCGCCAAGGAGCCTCTGTCACCGGTGAATTCACCGCCAGCAGAGACTTCTTCGCCAAGGAGCCTCTGTCACCGGTGAATTCACCGCCAGCAGAGACTTCTTCGCCAAGGAGCCTTGCAGCGAAAATGACAAAATCTCCGACGGTTCCAGCAAGTAACAACAGCGTATGTACAGGTGTGGTTCCACACAACATCTCACACAGTGACAACAGCAACAACAACAACAAGCGTGGTAGGGTAGTAAACGGAGCAATCCAAATTGGAAAGTCGTCCAAACTGTAAACAATGCAAGAATTATTTGGGATCTGAAGGTAAAACCAAAGGGTATATTAGGGGGACACCTAAATATACAAAGCCTAAAATCTTGTCTAAAAAGTGACCAGATAAAGAATATGTTACTTGAGTCTAATTTAGATGACCTCGGCTTAACAGAAACTTGGCTTACGGACAACTCTCCATCTGCTGCCGTACAACTTCCGGGTTATAATAGCTACAGGAGGGACCAAATGCATACTAAAGGGGGCGGTGTTCTAATTTTCGTGAGACACCATCCGTTGCAATGAAATTCTATGGCAAGACCCAATCGATTTAGAATATGTAGGCCTAAATATGATCCTGTCGCCTCAGATGTCCTTTACTTTAATAGTAATTTATCAACCACCTTCTTCAAATGTTAGCTTCTATGATCAATTCAAGAAGGTTTTATGTCAATATGATTTTAAGAAAGAGGTAATTGTAATGGGTGACCTAAATTTGAACTGGGAAGACAAGTCGTCAAGGAAGAAGCTTAAGCAAATTACTGATAGTTTTAATTTGACTCAAATCGTTAAAGGCCCAACGCAAATAACAAACAGCACCAGTACCCAGATTGACCTAATTTTAACAAATAGACCTGAAAGGATTACAAAATCATACAATATGGTAACAGGGCTGTCAGACCACAATATGGTGCTGGTATCTAGAAAACTAACTGGCAAACGGTTCACTGCGCATGCAGGTAATAAAGAATCATTTGGCATCCCAAGAAACAAGCAAGAAGACTTCAGATCAACTATACAAAACTTAGATTGGGAAAATCTAGTACTTGAACATAATTTAGAAGTAACTAGTCAAAACTTTACGGGAAAACTATAGGCCACAATCAATGAATTTTCAATCATGATAAAACATAAAAACAAGAAACAGACTCCCCTGGATGAACGGACATGTCAGAAATGTAATGAAGGAGCGGAACAGTGCCTTAAAAACAGCCATAAAATCAAAGATGTCCCATGATAGACATATATTTGCAAGGCTAAGAAACAAGGCAACAAAGAAGTCCGCTTTTGCTTTTCTCAGTTCCCTTATAACAATTATTGAAAATGTTCAGGGCAACTCAAAAGCTATATGGAGCCAAATAAAAAAAATTAACTGGTCAAAACAATACTACAGCCAAGCCAATTCAATTGAGGGTTGAGGGCGCAACTCTGCAGTGCCCAGCTGATGTGGCACATACACTCAATAATTATTTTGTTGAGTCAGTGGCTACCATAGCCCATAGCTTCATAGCTCAGGAAGAAAATGCACTCCCTACTGTCAACACTAGCGAGCCAGCAGCTGTTCCAAAGTCAGTGTCTGAGACAGAGGTTGCGGAAGTAATAGCCAATCTGAAATCCTCAAGGGCTAAGGATATCTACGGTATGGACACATTCATGCTGAAAGAGATTAATTCCTCAATTGTTAAGCCACTAACGCATATCATTTAGTGGGAATGCTGATACAGCATTCCAACTATATGTTATGCTACGGACAAAAAGTTTATTATTCCGCCGACTTATTTTGGCCCTCTTCTCCTCCCGCATTCAACATCGCAGAAACTCCGTTCAAATATCAAAACGTTCAGCTCGGTCGGGAATCGCAGGCTATTACTTTTATCATTCATAACTTTCATAATTCCAGAGATACATCCCATAATACATCACATTTTTAACATTTTAACTTTAACATTGCGCAGCTCGTTAAGGCAGAGATGTCACAGCTAGAGTGTAGGAAATCTTGAAATTTGCCTTCATATTTAAAAAAAAAACTGCCATATTAAAAACTGCCAATTCCCAAACCCTACATTTTTCATGACAAATGTAGGAAAACATCTCGTAGCTTGAAAAATGACAAATAATTAAGCAAAAATAATTAAGCAAAATGCCTCTTAAGGGCATGAAGTGACAAAAACTTTCAACATGTCTCCATTAAAGCCCATTGTAATTTCAGGCTGATATTTCCTCACAGCAGCAGCCGCACACCTTTAGTTAAACTGCCAAAAAGGCCATATTATTAACCCGAAAGTACACACAAATTACACTTCAGATACTCAACTTCCTTGACATGCTTCAGGTTTTGAAATTTCACAGATATCTGTACAGTTCTTCCACAAAACGTTCACATGTAAGAGGTTTATCTCATTCAGAACAATGGAAACCTATGATCTCTGCAGAGCTCGTTAGCTCAACTATAAACACCTGTGTAATGGAACACGATGATGTCATCACTCCAACTGACATGCTCAGAGCAGCAGACTTCAGATAAAGGTTAATGGTCCTGCCCTCAACAGCTCTACGTCAATTATGGGGTGTCATCATCATATGCCGAAGATCAAGAGAAGAGAGAGGGCGATCAAGAGAAGAGAGAGAGTAATGTAACCTCCTAATGTAATGTATAACTCCTATGAAAATGTTCAAAAAGTGCTCAAACTTCACATGTGTGCTAACAGTCCAGCCGTGAAGACATCTACGGGACAGTTTTGAGATTTCTTCAAATGCCGTTGCCATGGCAACACAATGCTCGCCTTGAAACACGGTTTTATCATAACTTCAGTGAAAATACTCCAAACAGCCCAAAACTTCACAGGTTTGGTAACGATGCAGCCATCAACGCATCTAAGCGTATTATGGGGTGTCATCAAATGCCGTTGCCATGGCGACAGACAACTCGCCATGAAACACGATGTCCAATCGACACGGTCCAATCGTCCTCCAATCTTCACTTGTATATCACCGGTCCATGCCTCAACAGCTCTACGCCAAATCTGAGATCTCACCAGAGATGGGGTCGTTACTAAAAAAAAGTAATATATTATATATTACATATTACTTTAAAAAAAAGTAATATATTACACGACTTCGTTACTCTCTACATAAAGTAACTCGTTACTTTACTCGTTACTTTACTCGTTACTTTACTCGTTACTTTACTCGTTACTTTACTCGCAGGGCCGGCCAGCCCCTCCCTGCAGGCAGATCACGCAGACTGCTAAAGTTTCAAATGTTCTCTTTAGTTCAGTTTCCATTGTCGCATAAGACTGATCCAGATAGCTCTGACCATGGCTGTCCTCTGTCTCCTGCTATCTGTATTTTGCGCAGTATATCTCTGAACGATGCGATGGTGATTCCACTGTGCAAATGGGCAACATTACCTCTACTATGAAGGATGCTACAAGCCTGTCCATCTCTGCTTTGGTTACCGGTCCTCCAAATTCTTGCGGCGGCGCACTCACAACATCCTCACTCTGGGTTCGGGGGTCCTTAGCTATTAGCTTCACCTTAGCATGTGTTCTTTGCAGGTGTTTGTTGAGGTTTGACGTGGTGTTTACAGCAGTGGATAACAGCTTCTGGCCTGGACACAGTTTGCACCTCACCGTCACATTCCTGTCTATTCTTCGGACGAACTCAAAATAATGGGCATACCTCCACCCCTCGAAAGTTATCGCTGACTCAGCCA